CATGCTCAATCAAAGAAGCCAAGGAAGTGTTTCCTCTTTCCCTGGCCTTAGCAAGGAACCCAGGAGCTGTTATTAAACGATGCGCTGAATACGGGGGAAAAAGAAAAGTGGGAAAATCAATTCTACTACTGCGGAAGTCCACATTTGAACAAGCATCTGTATAACCAATAATTTGTTTGCAAGTTTGCAAGTTTAATAAACATTTATATGCCGCCCAATCCCGGGCGGCTTACAGTACAAGAATAAATAAATATAAATAAAATATAGGGAAGGAAAAAGATAGGTTTAAAAATACAACACGCCATGCGCTCCGTTCTAAATGGGGCTGGGCCGTATTTGGGGGTCAACATGATGCCTAAACGTTGGGTTCAGGTCATTGGGGAAGGGGGGGAGGTCTTCCCTTCCTCTGGATCAGTGTTTCTCAACCTTGGTGGACTTTAAGTCCTGTGGACTTCAACTCCCAGAATCCCCCAGCCAGCATAGCTGGCTGGGGGAATTCTGGGAGTTGAAGTCCACAGGACTTAAAGTCCCCAAGGTTGAGAAACCCTGAGTCTGGATCCTTTTTCTTCCAGGTTGCAGGTGAGAAAAGTCCAGGCAGGAGATGGACTTTGATAGGACTTCTTGCAAGATGCCCTTGGGAGCTGCAAAGGGAGCTCAACTAGGCAGGAGGAGAAGCAGGAGGAGGAGACCGGGGGAAGGATTGGGGGGACGGGTGGGGGGGAGAGGTTGCTCCTCGGGGGCCGAGGGTCTTACAGCTGCCCGGGAAAACGCTCCTTCTTGCCACCGTGCCTCGCCTCCCCTCCTCCGCCCGCCCCCCTCGAGAGGGCTGCCCTGGCTTGCCCGCCTGCATGCGGGGGGCGTCCGTCCCTTGGCTCACCGGTTAATGCGATGCGCGAAGGCCCTTCGCTCCGGAGCCGCCATGCCCTCTTCCCACGCCGCCGATCTCTGGCCCGGGAGTTCCCGGCGCGCGGAAGGGCGGAACTCGGAGGGACCCAACGCCCGGGCGGACGAGCCGAAGGCGGCGAGCGAGCGAGCAACGGGGCGGCGCCCAGGCGGAGCCCTCGGTGCCAGCAGCAGCAGCAGCAGCAGGAAGGCGGAAAGCGCTCCCTGCCGTCTCCGCGCTGCTACGGCCGCGGTCTCTTCTTTCACGCCCGCCCTCGCCTCGCCTCTCCGGTTCCCAGGCGCGTTTCCCGGATTGGTGGCTGCTCGGAGGGGCTGGGAAAAAGCAATCGGAAGCCGCGGCTGCGGGAGAATCTCTCTGCGGAGCCTGTTAAAATGTATACAGTTGATTCTGATTAGTATCAATAAGTCTCCGCTTGAGAGAAAAGATTCGACTTCAAACGCGTCTTAAATAAGGAGGAAGGCGGATCCCTCTGCACATGGGCAGAGGCTATCTTTCCGTTTCTGATCTCCCCCTCCGGGCACACGGACCCACTTCTCTGCCTAGTGATATGCCAACAAACAAACTTCTGGCCGGATAGTTTCTCCCACGAGGAATTAAGTCCTGAGTAGATGCCAAAAACTACATCGGAAACGACATTTCTTCCTGCCAGGGAACGCCTAAGGCTATTTCTGTTGGAAGACGAATTGGCATCGTTTAAAAACAAGGAAAATAGTTGGTGGGTTTTATAAAAGATCTTCAACTCCATATAGATAGATAGATAGATAGATAGGTAGGTAGGTAGGTAGGTAGGTAGGTAGGTAGGTAGGTAGGTAGGTAGGTAGGTAGNTTTTCGTCGCGCTGTGATGACGTCACGTACGCGCTTTTGTCGAGCGCGCTTTTGTGGTGGAACCCTCTCTTTTGCCTTCCAAGGGGAAGAATGAACTTATGTACCTGCCTGCTAATAATAATTAATTGTTTAGAACTGTAAATGAACTGTGAAAGAAGAGTAAAAATAATCCACAAGAGGAAAATATCAAAATGAGACCTATTCAGATAACAGCAATAATTAACTTTAATGTTTCATTCCAAAAACAATTGCCTGAACTTTGCACTGATCGTTCAAAAGAAAGCAAAAGAATGAAACAAAAAGCAAAAGAGAAAGAAAACCTAGCATAACTGCTTAAGTTCCTTCCTAGCCACAACAAGAAAAACTCATGTTTTCTTTCTTTACAAACCATAAATACACCATTAAGAGACTTGCAAAGATATAACATGCATTACTAGTTCCTTATTATTGACTACGCCACAAGTAGGTTTACCCTTAATTTGTACAGTAATACAAATTGATTGTCTTAATTAATTAATTAATTGCACAGTAGTACTTTCTAAACTGTCACTTTCATGAAAACTGCTTGCAAGGAAGATATTAGCCCTGCTCTCTGAAGCACAGAGTAAAAACTCTCTTTAAAACAATGGGTGATTGAGGTTATAGCTCAATCATTCTCAGCTCCATCTACCCACACAGATGGCTGTTGGGGAAAAATCAGGATGACAGAGCATTATGTGCACTGCCTTGAACTCCTGAGTGGAAGCTGGAATGGAAATATAACAAATAAATAAAATCCACGTCAGAGAAGTTTATTCCAAATCATCCACATCTCACTTTACGTCACCAAAATAAAGGGTCAGAAATTGGTGCACAATATTACTGAGATTTCAAAGGGGGCATGCAGTCTGCTCCTTCACGACTTCACACCCTCCCTGGGGGAAAACACATTCAACTGGATCTAAGGCAGTGTTTCTCAACCTTGGCAACTTGAAGATGTCCGGACTTCAACTCCCAGAATTCCCCAGCCAGCGAATGCTGGCTGGGGAATTCT